TGACACGCAATGAGCCAGCATGCAAGGAGGCTGTGGCACCTGCCACTGTGCCTCCTTCCCATTTTGGGGAGGTCTTGTAGGGACTGGCTAGCTGCCCTCCTTGGCCTTCTCTTACCAGCTCCACAGTCTCCTCTCCACTGGTTAAGCTGGGTCTTGGGAGAGGAACGGCCTTCCCATTTCAAACACTGCTTTTGCAAGTGCATCCTGACCAGGAGGACTGGGGGCCCCTAGAGGTGGCCTGGCATGCCATCTGCATCTTTGGAGCCTTTGTGCTGATCGTGATGGCTTTAAACAGGAATGGCTGCCGCTGCATTGTGGATTTATAAACAGAGGCCAGGCTGGCCATTTGTTTCTGTGTATTTCCAAACAGTTGTGACTACCTAGGAAATGAAGGTGCTTATTATCCCCCTCCTGTGAAACAGGTAGAGCTTTGCCACTCTCTTTTTTCTCATATCCCCTTGAATCCGTCTATCATCACCGTCACCCACGGCCTTTCAGGGTAGAAGCCCTGCCAACATGGCATCCAACCATAAAACTTACATAATAAAAACTGGTACAGTAATAAAGACAGTAAAAACAGCAGCAGCGGCAAACATTCTAAAAAACAACAAATGTCAGCATATAATAAAACTTTCAATACACAGCAGCAGCTGCAACCCAGTCTGATAAAACAAGCAGGTCAAGGCCAGAGTAGTCTCATTTCAGGATTAAAAGCCTGCCAGGATGGGAACCTGGCGTGCCACGGATCGCAAACCAACCTATTCCCAAATGCAGAGGCGCTGCCCATCACGCCATGTGCAATGGAAACTTGAGTTTTCCACATTGGTCTTAGGACTCCAAAACCACCGCAAGCTTCACCAATGTCTCTCCCTGCTCCTTTGGATTCTATCTTTTCTGGCTCTATCATTATTGTTAGAGACCATGAGGTCACAATATGCCAATGAAATCTAGGAGAGGAATGTTATGCGGTCCCTTTTCTGTAAGTAGTACTGGTACAATAAAAACCAGTGTTGTTCACCTTTTAGCTTTCTCTGTGTTCTTGAGCTATTTATTTATTTATAATTTATTTTTTGGTTTATATCCTGCCTTTTTCCTACAAAGGGCTCAAGGCAGCTTACATCTCCTCCTCCATCTTATCCCCACAACAACAACCCTGTGAGGTAGGTTGGGCTGAGAGTCTGTGACTGGCCCAAAGTCATCCAGTTGGCTCCATGGCTGAGCAGGGACTAGAACCCAGATCGTCTGAGTCCCAGTCCCGTGCTCTTAACCACTACACCACACTGGCTCTCTCCTGTTTTCCCTTTGTCTGGGGTGTAGTCTACCAAGCGTGTGCCATAGCTCACAAAATATCCTCATCTTCTATGTCATTTCAGCACATGTGATCACATGCACGTTGAAATGGACACATGATCAAGGAGGTACAGTAATTCTAATGGCTGCATTATTTTGTTACAGCATCTAAAAAGGATATTAACAGTTGGCAGAAATTCAGCCAGGCCAACAGAGTCTTTCTGGGAGAATATGTGAAGTGTGACTTAAAATTATACAGGATTGCCAGCTTTTTACCCATGTCTGCTTCTATGCAGTGACTCAAAATTCAGAAAATTAAGCAAGCTGAGTTGGTCTTCATTTATATGCATGGCAGGAAAAACATTGCCCTCTAGATTTCAACATCTCAAAAAAGGCAGAGGCACAGTAACAATTATGATTTTTTTAGGAGAATTGTTTAATTAAGAAGTTCTTATCCCACCTAAGAACAAAATAAACCAGAAGAAACAGCAGTAAAATGCAGGATAAACACAGAAGTAAAAATAAGTTTCTTTTAAAAGCAAGGGCAAATGGGTGGCATCTCTGAACACAGGAAACCAACTCAAACTGCACCAGGTCACTGATCCACCTAACTCAGTACTATCTATAATTGCTAGAGTACAAATCTCATAATCCCTCCCCATTGGCCTTGCTGGCTGGGACTGATGAGAATTAGAGTCAAGGAGCATCTGGTGAGTCACAAATTGCCCACTTCTGGTCTATCACCATTGGCAACATCTCTCCACGATGCCAGAGAGGTGTCTTTCCCAGTTCTACCTGCAGCAGCCAGGGAGTGAATCCAGGACCTGTATCCTGCAAAGCATGTATTCTACCATGGAGACCTGGCCTTGCCCCGGGACCTTTGTTCCAATATGGTAAAAAGAACAGGCCAGTATACTAAGAAGGGAGAAGACGGTTCCACAGTCAACGTATGACCACAGAAAAGGACTGCCTAGCCTTTGACTACAAGGGCACCCAGGAAAAAAGCACTGAAGCTCTGAATTGACAGGCGGGTTCATATGGGAGCAGGTGGCCTTTAGATACCTTGGCTCTAGCTACACAGGGCCAAATGATAGCTAAATAACTGGTCCTAGATGCTTTATGGCTTTGTAGGTCAAACCCAGGTCTTTGGACTGTGCTTGGGAGGAAAGCAAAGCCTGGGAGCCAGTACAGAGCTTAGAGTACTATGTTCCCCACAGTGAAACTCAAATAGCAGCCCAACAGCCACGTTCACAGCCAGCAGAAGCATCCAAATGGTTTCAAAGGCAGCCCCTCATATCAACCCATGAGGTCATCAGGGCACCGGTAATTGTGGTGAGACCATGTCCTCCCAGAATGGGTTGCAGCTGGCAAATCACCCAAAGCACAAGCCTCTTTGTGCTCCACCTACAGTGCTGGGCTTCAGCAGGAGTGGGGCGTGGGCACTCCTCAGGCAGTGCCCACTGAAGGCCCTGGCGCCCACCAAATTATAACACTAATTAAATACAATGGCGCCTGGAGAAAGCAAACTAATGCTGACCTCTAGAGCACTTTGTAGACACTCTAGACCATTTTCAAGATTATTATTCCCTTTTGCTGCTCAGGGCAACAGTGGGTCTGGAGATACTCACCCCGGGTCTAAAAGCACCTCCAAGATGCCCACCTGTTTTTGCCTTTTTAAAATAAGGAAGACAATCCCATCCTCTACTGGTAGGATATCACTTTCCTAGTCTTGTATCACAGACTGTGTTGACCTCCCTGGCTTTAGGGAATCCGAAATGTGTGTCTCATTTTTGCCCCTGGCTCTGCTCCTGCACTATTAGCAGAATGCCAGCCCAACATACATACACACATGCGGCTGAAAGCTTGCTTCAGCTGTTATACTATTGCTATCCACTACATCCTTCACCTACTTAATTTCTCAGTGCCCTGTTAAAAGTATGGAAGCAGAGCAAAAAATAGATAGCACCATGAAGAGATGGCTTTGTTTTCTGCATTAGCTCATAACATTTAGCTAGCTTAGCAAAGAGGTAAGCCAGCATAAAGTGACTAATACCTGCCTAGAGTGGCACTAACCTACAAGATAAATGCACCCTATATCCTATAACTCTGTTTTAAATCATTAGGACTGTAGTTACATAGGGATGATAAGAAATCTCTGTTAGAAGATCCCTGACCTTGGTTCAGAACTACAACTCCCAGGATCCTTTCAGGGAATCTCCATGACAAAAAAAAAAAAAAAATCTGCTTAGGTTTGCAGCATATACATGCCCAACCTAGGAACCAGGGCTGCAACCAAGGCCGAGGAGCCTTGGCATGATATTCACAACTGGGTGTCTTCTTGCACTAGTGCTCCCACCCGTGCTCCCCACCGATGGGATGGGAACCTGGGGACACCCCTCCGATGGAAACCAAGCCATTGTGCTGCATCAGGCAGATGCCATTTGAAGTTTCCTGTAATTCCCCAGTGTTGTAACCAGGCAAAGAAGTCCAGAATGGTTATCAATGTTGGTGCACCTCTCTGTGATGGTGGGGTCCTAAGGAGCCATCCAAAGATGCCTCATGCATCACTTGCTTGGACGGGAGCAACCCATGGCCAAGGACACAGCTGCACAGGGCAGCCGCAATTCGCTCTGCCTCCTGACTTAGCTCAGCAAGCATCTGCACGCCCCCTGCCCTGGCCTATTTCATTTTGGAACAAGGGGATGAACAAGCTAGAACTCCAGATGTTTTGGAATGCACCCTCCAGAAGCCCTTGCAGCTTGAGCTCTGGTCAGGTGCACTGGCAGTCAACGTTGAAAACATCTTTCTACCCATCCCTGATTTTAGAAATGCCAGAGGGAAACAGTCCTGAGTTAGAACTCAGCTCTTCTTCTCCCTGTTTAGGGTTGTCAGCTTTTGTACAGGCCCCTGTAGCTCTCCTTTTAACTACAGTTTGATCTGCAGCTCTTATCAAATGAGCATGTTTAACACGAAAGGCAACAATTTCCACAGATCAAACCTTTGGTAAAAGATAGGAGTGATCCTTTTTTCTGCTTCGATTTCACAGGTCCAATGCAATGACCAAGCAGTTTTAATTGACTGATAATGGTACGGACTGGGAGCTAATGTGCATATGCAGATGAATGCTTGTCTTGACCCGTATTAATCCAAACTAGATGCAACTCTTACTTCCTGGCTTGGGAAGGGTAAAGAGGGGTCAGTAGAGCAGTCTTGGGGTGGGTCTGGTACACCCAATACAAAGAAAGGAATTTGGTCCACAGCTGTCATCAGTGGGCCTGACTAACTCTTCCTTCTTCCAATGTGGAACCAACACATCTTTCTTCTCTAGCCCTGCCAACACCAGATGTGAAGCATCTCCATATACAACGAGGAACAATCCTACGCATGTTTGGACTGCTAAAATTATTATTATTATTATTACATTTTTATACTGCCCATAGCCAAAGCTCTCTAGGCAGTTGACAGCAATAATCATAGAATCATACACTCAAGTCACCCATCCCACTTCTGCCCAGGCCTGACCCTGCTTAGCTTCCAAGATTAGACAGGATCAGGCACTTCAGGCTACAAGTTCCCAGCATTCCTCAATCAGCATGGCTAATGGGAATTCTGAGGGTTGTAAAGCGTTCCCTTGTCTGGGCAGGCCTAGGATTGCACCCAAAATGCGCCATCCCATTTGGCTTCAACCCACAGACGCCACGTGAACTCACGGATAGAGGCCTCCACCATGCTGTCTCTTCTGACCAGGCCGGGTATGGCTCAGCTTAGGCTCCCGGGCCATGTCTAAATCTAGGGGAAAGGAAGACACGACAGTGAGCAAGCAAGAGCAAAAACATGAGAGGACATGCTGGATCATCTTATTCCTAAAACTGTCTCAACAAAATCCAAAGCATGTTCCAGAGGTGAATCTTCACAGCATTTCCCGTGGATATGAACTGATTCAGCTTTTCAGTGTCGTCTAAAGCCATACTTAAGCTCTATAGTCTGGAGCTGAAATGCATAATGGTACCTCCAACAGTGGAAACACAAGGGAAGATAAACCTGTCTCGCCCGCACCCTTTTCTCTCCTATTTTGAGAATACCATTTAAGGCAAACCTTTCTACAAGGCCGATCAGAATCAGGGGAAGCGGGGGTGTTTGCTTTCTTGGACTACAGTGAAAATAAATAGAATATTATTGCAAATCTTAATTTGGCTTGCATGCCTAAATATACTTCCTGGATGCAAGTTATACTGAAATTGGTGTCACATATGTTTAGAATCAGAATCTTAATGTAAAATGGAGACGTTTCTGATGGAAAAGCTTACTAATAAAAATAGTGCTTGAATAAGCACTCAAAAACCGCTTTGGCCCTTCTTTGCCCATGTGCGAGATCCCCAGTGCATTGCTGGTGTGAGATTCCCATCTGCTTGAGGCAGGCTCAAGAAGTGCCGCTTCTCTTGATATGGAACTCTGCTACCTCGACCAAAACTGGGTGCATGCTCTTGCGGAATAGGAGCGCAGAATTACAGGGAATGCCCCGCCATTTAGCCTCAACGCACTTGCCCAGGTATTCTAAGTTCTTCCTGCAAGGCGTTGGGGGCAGAACCAGCTTCTCCCCTTCATTCAGCCCTCAGAGAACTTGGGCCTTGTAACACTGCTGTATATGTTTTCCAACATATGGAAAAGGGAAGAGGTCCTCAAGATCAGGACGAAGGCCTAAGAGTGGCTTTTGGAACAGAGGAATCGATCTCTTACAATCCCCTGTTCCTTGGCATAGTGTGCCCGCGCATGATTCCATTTCAAAGGGAGGATGATCTCTTTCCTGCCCAGGTTTGGTAGTAGCCGTGCAGCCAACATGCTGCCCTCCGTTGCCGTAACAACCTCTCCATAGCAGCCAAAATCCACGTCGATTCTCATCACCGCGCTGATCTAACTTTCTCTCCACCAGGAGTCCATCATTTGGAGTGTAAATATATTAAAAATGGCCAGCTCTGTTTAGCAGCAAGATTTAAAACAAGAGAAAAGCAACCCAACAGTCCCCACCCCCCTGCCCAAGCCTCCTTCCTAGCTAAATAAAATACACCTGGAGCCCCCACCGATGCCTTGGGAACGCATCCCTACGCCCATCACCCAAGGGGGATGCGGCTGTGAGTGACCCTGGGGTGGGAGGAATGACACCCTCCATGAGTTCTCAATTTTGAGGCTTTCTTTCTTCCCCCCGCCCGCGCATCCTCCTCCTCCTCCTCCTCCTCCTCCGGCCTTCCTCTGGGTGCCTGCTGGTGGCAGTCTCCTTGCCACTTCGCCCTGGGGCTAGAAGAGGCTGGAGCCCGCACACAAACACAACGGGATTATGGAGGTGCAGCCAGTACTCACATCTCCAGCACCCTTCTCTGCTGCCAAAAAGTGTCATGCCACCCGAGAGAGGAGGGGGAAGCGAGGCCTGGTGCCAGGCTGCGGGTCCTTTCTGCCCAGCCCGGGTGAGCCCTTTCTCTCGGGAAGCCCCTCCAAGAAGGTTGCCAGCAGCAGCTCTTGCGCTCGGAGAACGGCCCTCCCGTCTGAATGCTGTACCAGAGGAATGTACCATCTGTCCTTGTGGCTGGCGGGGGGGTGGAGGTGGGGAGAGAAGGAGGAGAGGAGAGGAGGAGCGGGAGGGATCACGCGAAGCAAACCATCTCGGCCGCACTGGCAGGGGTGCGTTGGTGGCGCGTGGAGAGCGGAGTATTTCCGTACCGGTGACCTCAATGCCGCCGGTCCGAAGGAGCAGGAGGGAGTGAGTGCGGCAGGGGGCTTGGGAACGGGCTACCCCTCCCTGTGTTGGGGAGGACAGAAAGCGAAGCGAAGCGAAGCACCACAGAGGTTGCTGACAAAGCCCTGCCGCAAAGGCTCCCGGCTGCGTGTTGCTCGGGTCTGTCCCTGCTTTGCTTTTCGGAAGACACTGGGGCGGACTTGTAGGGCGCAGTCCAATGCGCACAAACAGAGGGAAACGATCCCAACGCTCAGCATTGCCCAGCTGGCGGAGATCGGAGTTGTAGGACTTTTTCCTGTCTACTCTGGCACAGCAGAGGTGGTGTTAGGGGCTGGCCCGTTACAGCTGGCACCTCGCATCTTTAATTTGGGACCCCGAATCCCTGGGAGGCCCCCTGCCCCACCAGCTTGCTGTCCGTGGGCACTCGCTGAGATCAAGGCGCAGGGCCCCTGGGGATCTGGGCGGCCTCTGATCCCGCGGAGGAGCTGTCCGTCTGCCCACAGGTGCTTCCCCTCCTGCTGTCCCCCCATCTCGAACCTTTCTGCCTGAGGTTTTTCTCTTCCACAAAATCAAAGGCCCTTTTCTCCCCCATTCCTACATCCTGTAGGGCTGTAAATGTGTGTTTTCCTTTTATCCTGTGGGCCAATCCCCAGATCTTTTGTTCCTAAGAGTTCAACCCTACATCTGAAATTTGAGGGAGAAGGTAGGAAGGAGAGATGCATGTAAATGCACGCATATGGAATTAACATGCTAGGGCCCAGCATCTTTCCCATCACCACCCACCATTCCCATAACTGTTCAACCAGACTGTAAATTTTGCTGGATGTGCCTGACATGAAGGCAGATGCCACAATGATCTTGCTGAAGTGAAGGAGGCCACACCAAAGATTTGTTCCCTAATGCTTCAAGAAGCAGGACTAAAACTAATGACAGAGAAGCAGATTTCAGTTAGACATTAGGGGAAACTGTCTGATTTAATCCCAGGAGCATCATCCAGGCAGGGACTTTAGATATGTAGGAAGCAATGAAACTTCCTGTGAAAGATAATATACAGACTATTGAATACAACATGGAGGCAGGATATAAGCAAGCAAAGAAAACTTGCATTCCTCTTTATTGTTGACTGTACTTGTTCTCTGAATAGACCAGGGCAAGCTAGACCTCCAAAGTTGTCTCAATGAATGATGAGTCCATGCCTCTTCCCGGGCCAAAAGCACAGATTGTATAAAATTCCTCTCTCAGAACTAGCAGCCTCCCTTCCTGAGAGGGAGGGGAGGGGAGGTGGATGAAGCTGCTTCAGAAAGGCAGATACTGTAGTCTCATTCTCACATCAAAAGCAGCCCTTATCTACAGAAAGCTTGGGGAAGGGAGTTTCAAGGAGATGTTCTTTGGTGCTCTTCCAAGCTGAAGGCCACAAAGCTTGTTATGGCTTCAAGAACCTATCCTGGCTTTTGAACGCTGGGAAAGTTTGTTGCACTACCAGCTGCAGCTTAATAACCTCCTTGACATTCTTCTGTAAGGCCTAAACAATACACGGCATGGGGAGGGGGGCAGGCAGGGAGGAGAAACCAAAGCCAAATTCCATTTGGGGGTTATATTTGGGTGGTGGGTGGGAGCAAAGGGCCGGGGACAAAGTGCCAGCATATTGTTGTTTTAATTCCCTGTCACTAATACACCTTAGTGACATTGCATTGCAACCATTTAGAATGTGGCGAGGTGGAACGATGCACAAAAGCCGTGAAACCACCAAATGGTTGACAGCTGTGGGAAAGTGGAAGGGCTTGGCCATCAAGGGATTGCTGGAAGGCCAGATTTGACTAACCTGTGGTTCTTCACTCAACATAGGGTATTCAACAATGGGACAGACCACCTCAGAAAGTGGTGGGGTCTCCTTGGTTGGAGGTGTTTAAGAAGGGGCTGCATGCTCATCTGTCAGGGATGTTGAGGCTGCACTGAGCAGGGCTTGGGCTGAGCCTGGTCCTTTCCAGCTGTGCCGCTCTATTATTCCAGTGTGGTTCCAGTTATGGCAAAGCCAAGATGGCAGCCTGCTTTGTAAACCCAATCTATATATAAAATTTACCCTGCCCAGGATTTAAAATTTAATAAATACACAAAACAAAGAAATAGTTGTAATGCAGTTCTTTGAGAAAGGCTTGGGGATCCTGTTTTCAATGCCTTGCCAAACAACAGTTCCCAGGATTCCTTGTGTGAAGCCATGGTAGTGGACAGACAACTGCTCGTAGATCTTTCTGGCATCACTATGCACACAGAGGCACAGACGAGAGCAGCCTCATCATGAGGTGGGCCATGCGGTGGGTCCCAGACAGAAGATTTGGAGCAAGACCCTGGAGGGGCAGATTTGTGGGTGGACATATGAGGTGGATCCAAACGTGCTTCTCTTGAACCCTACAGTCAGTGCTGGCAGAGCGGCTCCTTGATGGCAGTGGCCAGTGTCCCAGTCTTCTGCTGGGACATCAGGCTCCAGCGTTCTGCAGGGAAACGGTCCCATGGATAAAATCCCTGGGCAGAGCGATGCTAGCTACATCCACTGCCTGGTCCCAGAACCTCCTCCACATGCAGCTGAGCCACCTGTCTGCATCACAAGGACCCCTCTGCCAGTCTATTTAGGACTGTGGAGCTGAACTGCCATTTGCCTTGAACTCCTTTCATCTGTAGACAAAGCACCTGGCTGCCCATGGTAACGCTTGCTGTTGCCATGGCTAAGCCATTTGGCTCTTCTCTTCCCAGCGCTATCTCCTGCAGCGACCTTGATAGCTGAAATCCACTGGCACATGTGTTGCATGTGACCGTTGCATTTTAAGCCTTCATTTTTAACTACAAACCTCCTAGAGAGCGTTGGCAGAAAGGCACCATACATGGAAATAAATTAGTCATTTCAGCTTTCCCATTCCTCTCCTCTCATCCCATTTGCGTCCAGTCATCGATTCCACAAACCGTCATATGAGGCAATTCATACCAGGGCAGTGGGGGGAGAGAGCAAATTAAGTGTGGGGCTGCACTTTGGCGAGGCAGAAAACGCAAAATAGCAAAAGCAGAAAGGGAGATGAGGCGTGGGGGAGAGGAATCGACGCTCCCTGGCAAGTGGCAAAAAGGCGGCGGCGACTTTGTCTCCGTCAGGTCTGCATCCCTCTTCAGCATGAATGCCTGGAACTGTCCATCATCTCCACTGGGCAGAATGCTGGTTGGGCTTAATGAGGAAGAGAATAGAAAGAGAAAAGCTGGTGAGATTCACTAGCCCAGAAGCTTCCCAGGAACCATGCGCTAGTGGCAAAGGAGTTAAACTCTTCTGCAAAAGAGGCTGCCTGCATCATAAATTTTAAAACCAGCCTAACCAGGGCTCCCTTTTGGATGATTTGCAAACTGTGCTCCCCTGGATCAGGCCAAAGACCCACAAAGTCCAGTGCTCTGTTCCCACAGAGGCCAGCAAATGCCTACTTGAAGCAGGGCGTGAGTGGCGTCGTGTCCTTTGCTGGCATTCACCAGCAATCCATACACAAGGCATTCTGCCCCTGATCTGGGCAGGAGGAAATGACCATCATTCTGGCAGGTCAATGTCAAAGGTAAGCAAGGCTGGGCACCTGCAGTGGGGCCTCATCTCAGCAAGTACCCATTGACAAAATCCAAAAAAGGGACATAGTAAACAGAGATGAGTCCAGCAATCAAAAGTAAGCACAATTAAGCAAGCAGCTTTATTGCTGAAGCCCTTTGGTATCTTCACCTGCTTTAGGAACAACCCTTACCTGAAATCCTGGGGACCTGTAGCCACTCAGGTAAGTTGTCCTATACTGGTTGAGTTCAGATAACATTATAATCCACATTCAAGCTCTGAATATGGGCTGAGTGTGGTTTATTATTGAACCATGAGGGGTTGTTGTTGAAACATGGGTTAGGGCAGTGGTGGCGAACCTATGGCATGTGTGCCACAGCGGGCACACAGAACCCTCTCTGCTGGCACGCGGGCCAAGTCACCCCATCATTGCCCCAGCAGCCAAGCATCAGATAACAGCAGACACAGGGGCCATGTGCATGCTCGGAAAGGAGTAGTGGTGCCAGGTAATGATGTCACAAGCCATGACACATTAGCCATGACTCATCCAAGCTTTCACATGGCTGGTCAGTGTGCTGCCAAGGATATATATATATTTGCTTGGACTGGCTTTTTCAGGTTTTATTGCAGAGTTGGCACTTTGCAATAAATAAGTGGGTTATGGGTTGCAGTTTGGGCACTCGGTTTCTAAAAGGTTCGCCATCACTGGGTTAGGGTGTTGTCTGAACCCAGCTGAGAATAAACCAGGGTGACCAGCCCACAGTTCATGACCCAGTACCAAACTACGGATTCACTTCATGGGTGGTTCATGCTTAAGAAGTCTTGACTTTTTAGTTCAGCTAGATTCAGACAATACAATAACCCACATTTCAACAACAACCTATAGGGCACAGTGGCGAGGATTGCATTTGCTCAATATTGGAAAAGTGAGGAACTACCCACCGATGGTTTGATTGTAAGAAAGATCTTGGACTGTGCAGAAATGGATAGATTGACTTTATCACTGAAGGAGAAAGAGGACACTGACTTCTATCAACTTGGGATTCTTTTTATAACTGACTGGAGAAATGGGACTTGGCGTAAACTTAGAGAATGTTTAAAAAATATGTAGTAGGGGGTTGATCCAGTAACTCCGATATATGTGATGTTTGACGTTTTTTGTGTTAGTTTAAATTTTTAATAAAAATTTATTTAAAAAAACAAACAACCTATAGTTCAACAGCAACTCATGCTCAATCCATTCTCAGTTCTTCAGAGAGTTGACCGATGGCTC